CCCTCTCCCTCTCCCTCACCCCTCACCCCTCACACTCACACTCACACTCACACTCACCCGCTCCTCCTGCGGGCTCTCAGCTCAGGTCCAGCTGTTCTGTCGCTGTTCTCGTTTCCCTGGAAACCGCCTCTCGCGAGATTCGGCGCGGACCCGGTCCCGGAGGGAGCTGTCAATCAAACAGATCCTCCCTTGCTGATTGGATGAAGAGGCTGCACTTCAATGGTTCATTCATTCATTCCTGCTGAAACGGAGTTTCTTCGTGTAGATGGACCACTGAGATCAAAAGTCAGCAGCTCTGAAAGAGCTTCTTCACTTCTAAAGAACCATGTTCGACAAGAAATTTTAGCTTAGTTTCTCTCTCCATGGCTGTTATTCGGCCCTGAATATTTTCATGCAACACTTTCTGATTTCCAGTTTACCAACATCATTTTGGTTTTATTATAACATTACTGATAACCAGGGTTAGATAAATAAATGCAAAACTCCTTAATTCTCCTGCTTTAAAACACTTTGGAAAAATCTGTGAGGAACTTCAAACCTCTGCCCCCATGGACTGCGAACGATCAAAAAAGCCAGTCACCACGATCTTCTCAATGGTAATTAGGAATCAGCAATAAATAATAAATGACATCCCAGCCAGCGTTCAACAAATTGTTTTTTTTTTAAGAAAAAGGCGAAGTATTTACAAGCGCAGCTGCGAAAAGTTTCGGAACAAGGTGTTAAACTGTCAAAGCCAAATAGCTCAAATGTTGCTGTTGCATTACTCTTAAAATTTAACGCATTGTGAGATGTGCATTTCACAACTTGCCTCATGAGAACTACATGAGCTATTGAGCAACAACTTGTTGAAAAGCCTGAAACATCTTGGCCTCCAATCACTGCTTAACTTCTCCACGTTCCATTTGAAAGTTGGACTGGGGAATCAGTCATCTGCATTGCTGGAAAACTTACAGGCCTGCTTATTCAACAACAAAACAAAAACCACAAAAAAATGTTGCACAGAATGTTTTCATCAAACTATTTACAGCTGTTCTTACATACCTCTGGAGCAGGTGGGTCATGAACCCAAGCCTCCTTGCCCAGAGAAAATCTTGTGTACGTAACAGTGCAAATATGTCCTTCCATACTTCACAGAGGTACGAAGCAAAAAAGATCTTGAGAAGGAACACAAAGGAATTGCTCAAAAATGGGTTTTCAAAAGCATCCTAGAGCTTAATATTAGCTAAGTAACACACATTTATTTGTTCTAGGCGAAACATGTTTAGCAAAATTATTTGAGCTTTTAATGACATAACAGAGAGTCCATAAGGATATTGTTGTTGCTATCGTGTTGTGCATGGACCCCCAAATTGAATAAATAATAATGCTAGCCATTTGATAATTGAGAAAATAAGACTTATTGGGAATTCCCGTGCGTGTCTATGTTTGGCTTGGGCTACTATGGTTACTTTGTCCCAGTTAAATTGATGGCCTTCATTCTCTGAATGTACCGATATCAAGGAGAATTCATCATGCCATTTTGCCACTAGTTGATGTTCATGTATTCTGATGGCTAGTTTCCTTCCTGTCTGTCCGATGTAATGTTTGTGGCAGTCGTGGCATGGTATTTTGTAAACCTCGTTGGTTCTGAATGTTTTGGGAATGGGGACATTAATCCTTGTAAGTGTTTGTTCTGGAGTGGCTGTGGGCTTGGGGACCACCATGATTCCTAGTGGTCTTAGGAGTCTTGTTATCAGTTCCCATATGGTCTTGATGTAGGGCAGTGTGGTCAGTGTGTTAGGTTGTACTGTGTCCTCCTGTTGTCTGTTTTGTAGGCATCTGTGGATGAAGTTGCAGGGATATCAGGTTAAAGTGATGATCTTGTGTAAGTGTTCTTCGTCTTTCCTGCGTAGTTCTGGAGTGTTGCAGCACATCCTAGCCCCATAGCCTGTTTAAGTAGTGAATTCCTAGAGGCATGGTTCTTCACCCATAGTTCAATCAACAAACATACAGAATTGGACCCCATATACAAACCCATACAGATCAAAACCAGAAATGACAGTACTCACCATAACGGACCGGACAGTATAAATTCCAAGCGGAGTAGAATAACATCGCTTCACTGGAGGCTCCACTGATGATGTCACCTACCATGGTGACGGAACGTCTGAACAGAAACAAGCCAGCTCGGCTAGCAAGTCAACAACCTCATCCATAACCCGAGCTATACATCTTTGACAAAACTTTAAAGTTTTGAAATTATTGATTGTTTTTTTTATTACACTGAGGCATGTGTTGCTAATACATAGCCCAAGTCTCACTACACTACCACAGTATGGTAACAACAACTGTTTTGTAAATTAGTACTTTTGTTGACTTGCCAAGGCCTTTGTTGGGAAACACATGCTGCCTTAGTTTAAGCTGGTGCAGCTGATCCAATGTTGAACCTCCTCATCAATAGCTGCATTTAACACCTCATATGTATTTAACAGAGTGAGAGATAAACTTGACCAAACAGACCAGTATCAGAAGTCATTGTATTCCATAATAATGAATAACTTAAAATTTAATTTGGAAAAGATGAGAAACTTTTAGCGTTACAGACGAAATGTGGGAGAGTGGTGCATTTTCTAAGCAGGATGACTTGTTATCCCTGTAGTTGAAAATTATATTATCTGCTTTTTTGACAAAGTTTTTTTATGTGACTTGGATTTCCAGAAAGTTCGTGGAGGAGTTAGAGCATTTACAAATAGTTCCAGTTTGTTTATACTTAGGGTGTAACCATATTTTCTTTTGTTTCACTTTTCAACAAATATACAAACAGCAAATTCAGTGGTATTAGTTTACATAGTACGCTTTTATTTTACAGCGCATCCTTATCTCTCCCATAGGAATTCACCCCCTCAGGGTCCATTACTCTTCCAATGAATAATATTGAACCTGAAAATCAAAAATATTTATATTAAGGCAAAGAAAATGGTAGAATAGCTATTAGCAATAATAATTGGCTGACTGTACACAATTCAAACCTATTAGATTAAGCTGAACACCAATAACGGTGAGTGACATCTGTTATATTGTATCATATATTTAAGATTCTCCTGACATCAGAGAAAGCAAGTCTTGGGAAGTAATCCTAATGGCTTCAGAGATAGTAGGAACTGCTGATGCTGGAGAATTTGAGATAACAAGGTGTAGAGCTGGATGAACACAGCCGGCCAAGCAGCATCAGAGGAGCAGGAAAGCTTCTTTGAAGAAGGGTCCAGACCCGAAACATCAGCTTTCCTGCTCCTCTGATGCTGCTTGACCTGCTGTGCTCATCCAGTTCTACACCTAATCCTAATGGCTTGACTTATCATCATTTTTGAAATACAGATCTGTTTGTCAAAACTAAGGTAATTTAAACAAGTACTTAATTTCCCTAAACAAAACAAAATAGTTTCATCATTAAACACCATGTTTATTTTGGATTAACTTATTTTTTCAGATTGTTATCAAAAACTAGATTCTTAATTTTATATAATAAAAACAGAATGTACTGGAGAAACTCAGCAAGTTTGGTAGCATCTGTGGACAGAAAAACAGTTAACATTTTGCATTTAATGACTCTCCTTGATTTTAACTTTGCTTAGTAACTGACAAATGAGTTCTCAAAAACATTCCAATAAATGACACGTATAAAGTAACAACCTTACCTGTCAGGTTGCTACGTATAAGAAAAACAAATGGACGATTTGCCATAAATTTATGTCGAGGAAGGCTCATGATTGCTGCGGTCATACCTGCATGGAAAAATCCAATATTAGGAAAAATTACATCAATATCATATTTTGCACATTTGGAAAATATAGAACAAAAATATCTAAAATAAATATATATTGCAAATACCAAAACTACAATAATTATGTTTCCTCCCTTCTTATTAATAACAAGTATAGGGGTCAGCCTTGTCTTAGTGACAGAATTTCTGCTTTAGCCTTTAAACAACAGGCATCAAATAATGAAAATGAAATAGAGCAAAAATTTTTCAAGCAACTTGAAAGATGCAATTACTAGTACTGGGGACTTCAATTATCTTAAAATAGACTGAGATAGTAATAGTACATTGGGGAAAGAAAGGAAGTTTTTTTTTAAATTGGTACAAGACAACTTTCCTCACCAGTGTGTTTCCAGAACAAGAAAGACTGCAGTATCTCTCTCTACAAAAGAGACTACAACTGGAAGTGAGATAATTTTAAGTATTTTTTAGTCCTTTTTATTAAATCTTTGTCTATTGACAGATGTTCATTTTTTTAAAAAGCAGAGAAGAAAACTAACTAAAGTACATGCATTAAAAGTAAATTTAATATCAATTCAACCAAGCAATAATAAACCTGATGAAGCTGCTGCTTCACTCCCTTCTTCATTTATTTCAATGAATGCTTGATGGACTGCTTGAGAAATGTACAAGTCAGATGATTCTATTGAAAAGAGCAATTATAAAACTTAGCAATTAATTCTAGTAGAATTCTAATTATTCTTGAATATTCTAAGTGATTATTCTACTGTTCATGTTTGGACTTAGCTATTATTTATTTTCTGACATTCATAATTTTTTAGTTAGTTAAGATTTATTTGTACTTTATGTGGACCAGACCATACCCCTTCAAATATATCAAGGAGATAGCCTAGACCCTAACTTTTATCTTATTTAGAGGCAAGTGTAAGGTACTATATTCCAGATGTAATTTGATTGGTTACACTAATCAGCTTTAAGCAAAATACACTTTATTCTTACCATATAGTTAAAATACAATCAAAAGAAAGAAGAATTGGTATAACTTTAACTCTACTGGAAAACTTAACAGAATAATAGATTAGTTAACTACTAAACAGCAACTGTTCCAATATAGTAACATCTGATAAACACACCCTTGGCAAAGGTAAGTTCATTAAAATAGATTGTCTCATATGCGATGTTTTTCCAGTGCAGGTGAAAAGAACAGCAAGAGAAAATCCTGGTAGAGAGAAAGCTAGGCAGCTTCTACGACCAACTTCAAAACTCCAACAACACCTGAAAGCTAAACTAAAACCCTGGATCTGTGGGAGCCTAACTCCACTATTCATGCTGCTTCTATTATTTCAACTTTTAAAAAAGCCCCAAGGCCTCACAAGTGGTTTACTTAATTGGCTTGGAAGAGACAGCCCACTACCTATGGCTTAAAACCTCTCTTCAAAAAATGAACATGAAAAAGATACACCACCCAAAACCACAGTATCATCACATGCTCTAATGAATTGTTGTGTTATGAAGATGACCGTTGCCAAAGGTAGAAATTAGTACGGCTGTTAGCGTGCTACTGTTCTGTGACACAAAATGATAAGAGTCCAGCCCAAGATTAAATTCTCCCTTAACCAAGTGTGGAGTGGATGTGTATTGTGGCAACTGAACTGTCACCTCACCAATGAATAAGCTTCCTGAATTGAGCTCTAATTAGCTTGTTAAGTGATGACTGGCAAGCTTCTCAGCAATTTACAGGTTTTGACGTTGTATTTTCCCCTCACCAAAAACTGACAGCCAGTCAAAGGCTGGCAGCTTCTTGGTCCTAGAAATTGTCACTGGAGGCCTACACTTCAAGGGACTTTCCAGCAAGAAAGTAAGACTTTTTCTATCAGACTTGTGAGTGTGGCTCACATGGAGGGGAGTTCAAAGACAAGAGAGTTCAAAGATAAAGGGGAGTTCTTCAGTGATCACCCTCTTGCACCTCCCTGCCCTTGATTTTCTGCCAATTAAGGCAAATGGAGGCACCCCCACTCTCCCCATAACACGGGAGTAAGGTTATTCTTGTTTCCTAGTCAGAAATGAGCGACTGTTGTTATCTGCTGGGAAGGCAGGTACTCAGGCTGGTGGTCTTAAGACCCTTAAGAGGCAATTGATTGACTTTTTAAGCGCCTTAATTGTTGGCAAGTTGAAAAATTTGCCTTTGGACCTCTTCACCAAGTACTTAATTGCTGAGGTCACAGGACGGGAGTGAGTGTTTCCTCAGGGCCAAATTGCCCAATTATTTGTCTTTCTTGCTACTTCTAGGGAGGATAAAATTGCACCCTTCTCATCTATAATGCTCCATAATGATAGGTATTATCCCACACAGAGAGACAGGCACAATGGGAAAAGACCAATGCTAAGCTTTTGTCTCCTACTGGCTGATTACATCATGGCATAGGGAAAGGCCTATGAACAGATTGTGAGGACAGAACAGCGTTTAGTGCAGGCATTATCTAAACATTTGAGAATGACATATCCTCATTTTCAAACTCATGAAGAGCTAAGGTGAATTCAATTAGCTTCCCTGGATTAAAAGAGTTACCATAAGGCTACATACTTTCCTGCAAACCATTAAGAATGCTACTGCCTCTTTTAAAAATGTGTGAAGTATTTTATCAAGTTGTTGATAATAGCATTTCACATGTGAAATGAACAACAAAATTTTTACAAATAATATATTAAGATAAACACACAATATAAATACCCATTTCAATGTCAAGTTTGTGAGACTAGTGTTCATACAAACATTAAAAGGTTGATTTTTTACTCTGGTGATGTTTTTGAAAGATTGACATTTGGAATGACACAGTTTGCGTTATAGAAAACAATACCAGAACCATCTCATTCTTACTCTGGGAAACAATCCCAGTTAATCATTCATCACAGTTTATTGGGGATGTTTTTCTGGCTTGTACCATTGGAGCTCTGTGCCCAATTTACAAGTGTTTATTGGAAAGGGCTTCCTCTCCACAAATTACACTGTTACACAAATTCTGAAAGAATAAGAAAAAATTGTGAAATGTCATTTCTGCTGCCAGGCCTGGATACCAAGTAGCCTCCCAGCAATATATTCGGAACAGAGAGTGGGATTTCCTCTGGGACAATTTCAAGTGAAAGTGTGAGCTATTGCAGGCAGTGTCTTGTGGTTAACATCAGCCTGGCACATAGACTGCAGGAAAACGACATAATTCTTTGCAAGTGATAAACTTGCCAAGCTGTGTCTGACCTTCTCTGTGCATCCATTGAGGTAACCAGAATGAAGCAGCATCCAACAGGACCTGAATCTACCCAATATCGGGAATCAGGTTGGATTCTTCCAAATCTGCGTGTTTTTGGTAAGTAAATGAAGGGAGCGCAGGTGGAGCAAGGAGGGGAACTGCCAATGCAGCTAAAATAAACTCAAAGAACTGCACATGCTGGAAATTTAAAGCAAAAGCAGAGTGCTGAAAAAACACAGCAAGCCTGGCAGCATCTGTAGAGAGAAGCTAGAGTTAATGTTTGAAATGTTAACACTTTTCTCTGCTGGTGATATCAGGTCTGCTGTGTCCCTCCAGCATCCGCTGTTTTTGTGCCAAGGCATAGAGTTTCATCCCTGAAAATCTAAGGTTGATTTTTACATGAGGTTAATGAAAAATTATGATTTCTTAAGCCACAATTATAGTTCAGCTGAAACAAGACTGACTTTTGCATGGATATAGAAGATTTACTTGAATTTACTGTTGAGCAGGCAGTTGGTATTCGAGGTTATGTGGGAGCTATACATGGGAGCCCTGTGGAGTCCCATCATACCACACCCTGATGGAAATTACATTTTCTACTGGGCAATTCCTCTGGGCTTGGAACCCTCTGAAAGCTTCCATTTAAATCAGAGACTTTGGAGGGTTCTGATGAAATTAGGGTAATACTTACGATTATTAGCTAGATTACAAACTAGATTATTAAATGCATAATCTAACTCCGGGTACCTATTCAACAGACCACATACTTACTTCACACACTCCCAACCGTATTTTCCCCAGACCCCTTACACCACCCCGCCTACTTTGACCTGACAGCCTCTTACAGCCCCTGTCACTGGACTCGATCGACAGCCTGGGACCCTTGCTGCACTGGGAAAGAACTGTCAGAATGGAAATATGGCTCCACATTGCTGTGAGAGCCCTGCGTGGGACATCCTCTCAGAAATGTAGAGCTTTCTTCTTTCTTAAAATAAAAGGCCAGAGTGAAAATCTGTGTGAGATTGCCACACCCTGAAAATGCAGCCCACGTGGTATTAGCATTTGTGCACTTTTTTAATGATAGCAAGTTCCCTTTACACAGCCTTACTCACATCATGAGGAAACTGCACACACTTCCTCTATACTATTCAATCAAATTATTTTAAAACCATGCAAATAATTTTCTAATATGCATTGCTGATGGGCATGGCTCCTTGGAAAAGGCACCAAAGTTTTAATCAAGATAAATTCCTCTTTAAATGGCTGTGTCCTTTTAATTTTAAACCACTCATTTTATTTTGCACAATCATATATCTCACATAAAGGACAAGTGACACAGAGAAATTTATAAATGATATGCATGAATTGGGCTTGCCTGGTATTGTAATCCTTGCTCTCTACCATTCCACTATATACGTCAATCTCAGAATTCATTCTTGGTAATACGAGCTAGGAATTAATGGAACCCTGACAGTCATACCTGTGATCCCAGAAAGGTCACATTCACTTCCAAATATCTCTGTGACATTGAGGACTCCAAACGGTTCTTTCAAATCTAACCTTTGTTGGATTGTAAATCTACAAATAATAGTGAGAAAACAGAATGTTTAGCAAATTACACAACATGTCACTGCAGTTGAACAATTGAGATAAGGCACCAGTTCAAGCCAGCAATTGCCTTTCAGAGTTGCAGTGCGGGAAAAACTGCCCCTGAAATGGCCAAGTTGGCATCTCGATTTGACTGAGACCTGGAGATCCCACCGCTGGTGGGTGGTGCTGTGGACAGAAGGCCCATTCTCTTTCCTCAGGACCACTAGAGACGACCATGGTATCAGACACAACCAGTCTGGTCAGAGTGCCACCTGGGTCAATATGCTGTCCACAGTCTGAAGGAATGCCCATCATTGCCACAAGAAGGCAAATGACCTTTGGCATTGCACAAAAGTAATTGCCACATCCTCTCACTGCTAATTCACACTCATTCTAACTCCACTACTTTAAGCCCCTCCCACCAAGGATCATGGTCTGCTACTTTCATTATAGCATGAATCATCTTCCCTCAGTGGCTGTCATTTATGCTATCCCCAAACTACTAACAAATCCTGCCACAATAGGGCAGGAAGAACCAGGATAGTTGGTGGGCTGTCCAATATTGATCTCCTCACCCGCTTTGAGGAGACAATCCTTGAGCTTGAAGGAGAAGAGAGAGACAGCTCCAGCAATCAAGTGGGAGTCATTATCAAGTCCTGCTGTGATCTCCCATTGCCAGCACTGTGAATACATTCTTAACATGCTCAAGCTTCTGCCCCTATTTCACAACTCATTCCCTCTCATATCCTCTCTGTTTTGCAGGCACTACTGGCTTTACACAGTCTCTGCCATGAAAAAGGCAACTCCTCCAGCAAACAAACCCTCCTTCACGTCTGAAGAAGAAAACTCAGACCACAGAAAAAACATCAATAAAGGTGTCTCCTGCATCCTTGATCAACTCAGATGCTGACAATTTGGTGGATATGTTTGCTAGATTAGAGTCAGGAGCACATTCTGGTGAGCACATCACCGTTACATCTCCACAGCTGTCCAAGGAGGGAACACCTCAGAGTCATTGGCATTCTGAGAATGGCCAGAGACAAACACCTATGCAAGGCAGGCATGGAGTTAACTATTAATAACTGCATCAAAATTCACAAATTGACAAAGGAGCAGCTGCCAGTTTTGTCAGAGATTCTTAGCACACTAGATCAAAGGTTCAAGAGGCCAGTAAGGCCAGTTATACCATGCTGGCTCTGGCATGCATGCATATAGCTGTCTCCATGGACATATTGGTAGCTGCCATGGACAGCTAGGGCTAGCCCACTCAGTGACCATCAGATATGTGCATGTACCTGCTGTCCATAGCTTAAGCCATTGGTGCGTAGCAGGAACAGCAAGAGAACAAGGGGAAGAAGGAGGCTTGACCACAGTACAGGTTCCCTTCCTCACATGGAGGCAGGATGGTGCCAATAGTAAGCAAGAGGAAGATGAACCACATAACAGGAGCTGGCATATTCACTCTACCTGCGTCCCTCTTTCAGCAGCCACCCCCACCCCTATCCCTCCACTCTCCCCGAATGTCAACTGTTGAAAGTTCAAGTCAAGGAAGGTGAGCCTGCATCCACCAGACTACTCTCAGCATGTCTGGCCTCAAGCCAAAAATGCCCTGGGGTCATCACACAAATCTTCAATGCCAATAGGCACCATTATTGAAGTGGCTCCCTCTACCCCAAATGCAGATCCCAGGGATGCACCTAGATGTACGCAGTTAGAGAAGAAGAAAATAAGCAAAGCCTTCTGATGGCACATTGGTGATTAAAACTTCATTATAAATAGAATAACACATGTGTATATTTATGTTCACTTTTCATTATCAACTGTGTGGTCAATTGTCATTTTAGCGGTAGCTATAATAATGAAGGTAAAGAGGCTAGCCATTTATAGCACCACATGATACTTTAACTCTTTCTGAAGGTTAGCTCTTCTTTCAGCAGCACTCATGCTAGCATGAAATTTCGTCATGAAGAAAGAACAAATCTGTAAATTTCAGTCTGTGCAGCATTGATACATTTACAATCAGTGAATGATAACTTCAGCCAACTCAGTTCCATTGAAAGCAGTTATCATGTTGGATGGAACATGGTTTCCACCTGCACAATGGTTCAAGGAAGTAACTGTGTAAAAGTGCAACTCTCTTCAAATTAATGTAAATTTGGTATTTGGGATGTCCAAAGCACAACTTGTTGGCTCTACATTTTCAAAGGAAGGTCTAAACATATCAGAGTTCAAGTTTGAGAAGTAAGGTAACCTTTCGGAGAGTTAAGAGACTTTTTGGATAGGTCCAGGGATCCCTTTGGAACAGATATGGTGCCTTTTGGGTGAGATTGAGCAGCCTTTGCGATTGTTAAAAGTAGACATGAAAGTGCATAAAAAGTGAAGATATTGAGGCATGATGAAGTCCTCATCATATCAATCAGCAGCTGAAAGAAAAAGATTGCAAGATTTCTGATCTTCAGTTGTATTCCCAGCTTTTTCTGTTTTTATTTACAACAACGTTGTAGAAAGCACAAACATATGATCTCCAAAGAAATATATAAACAAATGTATCTTTAATGAATATCGTTTTAATTGTTGCTATGGGGATTAAAAAAAGCAATTGGAAAATGTTAGTGGCATTGTAGAAGGTCATACCTTTCTGACAATGAATTAGGTGCTTGGTCCCATACACTAAAATACATTTTTTAAATAATACAGAAAACCAAAAACAGCTGTGTATACGCTTTTGAGGTTCACTCTCAACTTGTACTTAAAAGTAGTTTTTACTTCCAAATAATATCATTCCTGCAAATTTGGTAAATTCATAAATTATTTAATGAGACAGGTAGCTTGATGCAGTCCTTATGAAACATTCTCACACAGGCACTTTGATGAGCATTTGTCAGATTGAAATCAAGTGTAAAACCTTGATTGATGTTTGCTTCATTATTTCATTGGTATTGTAATCAATTGCTGCCCTGGATTAAACTGAGGTCAGCACAGATTGTTCAATTAAACCTGAGAATCAACTTGATGAATACTTTAGAGGATTATATTGAGAAAATTTGTAAGATTTCATCACTTCTAAGAAGAAGAAACTAATTTATTTAGATGTTTAATATTACCTGTTTTCAAGTTTTATTGCAGTTTAGATATTCGGTGGAAGACTGAATCTCATCAACATACTTAAGTGCAATTCAGAATAAATATGTAAGTCATTTCTACATAAAAGTAGCAGCTCCAGTGACAAACTCATTAGCATAGTTGTACTGTCCATGCAAATGTTTGCTAATTTGATTTTCATGGCAACAAACAAACAAATAGCTGCAAAAATACATGTATAATTATATTTAAGACACCCAATGCATCTCTTAAAATCTACTTCTTTTCTACCAACATAGAGAAGTTACATTATAATTAACAGCAAATAATAAGCTAATACTGCTCCGACAATGCCAACATAAATCAGGAAATCCAAGCTTCGCTCACCAACCTTGGAAGGTTAATCTCAATGTCTTCTTCTGACATTGTGGAAAGCCAATTATGGATAAGTTGTGGTGTAATAAGTTTCTCCAATTCTGTTAAATCAGTTCCTTCTGCTGGTAGTGCCAGGAATATGCTGGCTTCGTCTCCAATATAAGGTACTTCTACAACCTGATAACTGATTTTTCCAGCTGTAAAATAACCTGTAATAAAACAATTGATTATATAATTACCAGTGACAGGAACGCTATTTAAATCAGACATTCAAAATCTAGAATGGTATTATAAGAGGGATTTATTTATATGATTCATTATCCAGTTATTAATGATGATATTTGTAAAAAGACGAATTCTGTAAAGTACTTCAGTATTGTAAATCTGTTGAGTTCATGTTCCCACTTTAGATAGGAAACCTCAACGAACCTTATTTTCTTTTTGGCTACTTGTCATTGTTGTTGAGTTTCACAGGTGTTTTACTCCACAAGTCCTAATGAGTAGTATTGCATTATCATCCATAACTCACCTCATTAACTACCTACTCTACCCGTATGGCACCCTTGTCATCAGATTCTAGCTGGATTCCACCAATCACCAGAGATGGAAGAATTCACCCCTGCCCAAATATCCCAGAATAGATTCACATTCTTGACACAAACCCATCCTTATCATGGTATTTAAGTGGCAAGACTGACACTACCTTGCAAATACAATTCCACCTTCTTACCCTAGTTATTGTTTAAACACCAGGCCACACAGCTTATCTATCCTTAGCCACATCTGATTTTGCTACAAATCTCTAAGTCACCACGTCTCTTTCCCCACTTCACACTTCAGCACCTCAGCTTATCATTGTTCAATGGGGGAATCATCACGCGCAGGGAAGCCTTCAAAGAAATCCAAAAGTTATCTTTTATTTACAAATTGAAGAGTGAACAGAAAGAAAAACAAACCGAAGCTGCATTTCTTTCCCAGAATGTCATGAATCGCTTGCATGTAGACCAGTAACTATTTTATAGTTAAGGATTAGTTGCTGCACTCATCTCTCATCTGCTGGAAACGAATCTCAATCAGTTCCTGTCTGGCTTGCAGCACTCAACACAGCTGAGGTAACACATGCAGTAAGGTGAGGTACCTCCTCATCAATCTCATCTTCCTTCGTAGAAGACTGCCCCTCCTTGCCCAATGCCTCAGCACCCATCAAATCCTCTCACTGCCTACTCCACTTCTGCACAACACAGCATGTTTGATTCTTTGTGGAGAATATTGCAGTGCCCCATCTGAGCAGTCCAAGCAGCAGAAACACATCTTCATCTGGTCTAGTATCTGCTCTATCTTTAGTCCAAGTGTGGGAAGCATTACACCTGCACTCTGCCTTAATTAGGGGTTACTCAACGGTGTCTTCAGCTAAAGTTGCTTTGGATAGCCCTTGCACCTCAGTAATCAGAGTGGACCCTCAACAGCAGCAGGAACACGAGATTTCTCAAGGATGCAAGAGTCAAGACAGCTGCCAGAGTACTAGGTTCAAACGTTTAAGTAGAACCAGTAATCACACTTGCACAATAACTAAATCAAACCCCTTCCTGCATCACAATACAACCATCTCAGTGTTATATGTGTTCAGTCAATGGCGCCCTGCCCCTGGGGGAACCTGGTTTTGTTACCGAATCATATTGTGTGGCTTGCAGCATTAATCTCACCACAGGTAAACAAATAAACCAGTGTGATCTCACACCAATGGCACTGGTCACTGTCTTAATGCATTTGTGGGTGCACAATTGAGAGGTGCTTCACGGGTCTCTTGTGGCTGCCTGAATAGAGGTAGTCACATAGCAGCTCAATGTAGCTGTCACCTTCAGGGCTGCCTGGATAGAATGGGTACCCACACCTTCAAGTCCCAATCCAGCAGTTATCACAGCTCAGTCACAATGTACCAGGACTTACAGAGCCTGTATCAATACTGTGCCTTGCTCATCCAAAGGAAATGGCTTAGAGGACAAAATACTCTGGTCCTCCTCTGCTCTGATGCATCCTGAGCGGCCCTGAAGCTCTGGTCTCTTCCTGTACTGGTGGCCTGTTGGCTTCTGGACCAGTCACTGCACCTCCACAGGTCAGGTGGAGAGAGATTCCAGTCTGTTCCTCACTGAACCATTGGAAGACTTCAGGAACTGTGCTCATTATGGATCAGAGCTAACTTTTTAAATGTTGGCTATGATTACTTGTACTTCATGCGTGCAATTTGAAGACACCAATGACATGGTGGATATTGCCTCTGACTATATTTACACCCCACATATTTATACTCTGTATGCATTTCACATGGACAATGATATGATTGCAAATTATGTGAACCTGCAATCATAAAAAGTATGATTGATGTAATCGCCCCTTCAGCAGCCTCCCGTCGAGAAGTAATGGGCCCTATCCTTTTGTTATCAGACGACACTGATACTGTTCCCCCCACCACTCCAGGGTGGTCCCTGGCATTATCCATTTGCAGGTCACTTCTTGCAATCAAAAAGTCATGGTACAGATTCAAGGTTACAAATGGGCACTATGAGTACAGGGCTTGACCTGGTCATCAGGTATCACAGTCTATCTTCATCAAATCACCACATGTTGATACCCACCACATCATACAACGACTCTAACTTTATGCCGTGCCCCCTGCACCTTGGCATTACATTTTGGTAATGCTCACCGTTGAGCTCCACCGTTTCCTCCATGAGGCCACAGTGGCGGTGACCACCTGTTAGAACCCCTCTCACAGCACCCTATGCACTCCAATACACCATTAGCTCCCCCATGGATGTGATGCCAATCAAATGGGCTGCTTTGTCCTGGATGGTATCAAGCTTCTTGAAAATTGTTGGAGGTGCACCCAATCAGGCAAATGCGGAGTATTCCATCACACTCTGACTTGTGCCTTGTAGACAGTGGACTAGGCTTTGGGGAGTTAGAAGGTGAGTTATTTGCTGCAGTATTCCTAGCCTCTGACCTGTTCTTACTCCTGCATTTAAATGGAGAGTCCAGTTGAGTTTCTGGTCAATGGTAACTCCAAGAATGTTGATAGTGGGCAATTCAGTGAAGGTAACACAAATGAATGTCAAGGGGCAGTGGTTGGATTGTCTCTTACTGGAGATGGCTATTGCCTGGCATTTGTGGGGTGCAAAAGTTACCTGCCACTTGTCAGACTAAGCCTCACCTGACAAAGGAGCAGCGCTCTGAAAGCTTGTGATTTCAAATAAACCTGTTGGACTCTAACCTGGTGTCGTGTGACTCCCGACGTGGATACTGTCCAGGTTTTGTTGCATTTGAAATGGACCGAGGAGTATCAGAGGAGTCACCAATGATGCTGAACATTGCTGAACCTCTCACACAAATCTCTAAGATTTTTTGTCATAGCCCACATCATTCATGGTCCTAGAAGATTCTGCCCCCTTTTTAACCATTGCCATCACAGGAGAATGGGTAAAATGATGGTGGTATGTGCTGTATATTTCAATGGCATTTTATAGTTAAAGAGTTCAATGTGCGATTTTTCTCCAACTCTGTTTTACATACAAAATGGTGATTCTATTTTGCTTTAAACATTGTTATTGTTAAAACTCATCCTTTATTACCTACTCAAGATATACCTGTAATAACTTTGCTTTTACTGTGAGCAAACTTGCAGCTTAACAGTAGTTAAATCCATAAAGCAATAAGCTTTATCACATTTTCTACATCATTGTGTTTCCTACTTTGCCTTTTTAAATATCTGAATAACCAATCAGACCAATATCTGTTAGTCACTGAACAAATTTAAAGTGTATTCTCAACTCTAGTTTTAAAAGGAGCTGGGGTGAGTTAAAACAAATGAAGAGATTGCGCTCATGACCCAGAAATCCAAAGTTACATTTCAACACTATACTGCTGTATCATGCTAGCAGTCATCGACAATGATAAAACACATTTTTTCATAAAGCGATCTTTTCAGATTATCAATTTGCATAAAACTTGCAAACAGTCATAAAACAGTAACTATATTTTAAACCAGCAAGTGCAAAGCTGATAAGTTCCCATTTCAAAAGCTGGTTAAAAGATGATAAATAAATTATTTCCAAAGGAGAAGACAGATATACTGGGATGGATAATCAAAGATTGTATTATCAAATCACACCTATAGTAATAGAGAAACAGTTCTTAAGTACACAATATTAATATTATTGCTATATCACTTTATTCAAATGCTGCGACACAAATAGAAAACATGATTAAAATTTTAAAAATTATCCGGATATTAATTCTTACTGTAACATTCATTGGTTAGCACTGCTGCCTCACTGCACCAGGGACCTAGGTCCGATTCCACCCTTGGGCGACTGTCTATGTGGAGTTTGCACATTTTCCCCGTGTCTGCGTGGTTTTCCTCTGGGTGCTCCGGTTTCCTCCCACAGTCCAAAGATGTGCAGGCTAGGTGAATTGGCCATGCTAAATTGCCCATAGTGTTCAGGGATGTGTAGATTAGGTGGGTTATAGAGGAATGGATCTGGGTGGGATGCTCTGAGGGTCGGTGTAGACTAGTTGGGCCAAAGGGCCTGTTTCCACATTGTCAGGATTCTATGATTCTATGATTACATAAACCTTGTTTAGTTCATTACTATTTCAATAAGAGAAAGTAAAAAGGATATTATCTACAAGTTCACAAAGCTTTGTACCAGTGCCAGTAAATGTTTGAGGAGAAAAAAAACAATTGAGTCCAGGTGTGATGAGGGAAATTTCTTGTGCATGGCATTTATTTAGATAAATGTAATGTTATTCATGTTGGTAGGGCTAATGATTTATTTGGGAGTACTTAATGATCGAGGGACAGACTGTGTCTGTGTGCGTAGACTAATGAGATGACTTACATAAAATAGATAGATGTCAGGAGATTTTTTTTTTGCAATTATAAAGCTTCTAAATAAGCTTCTTGATTGCAGAGTGAATGCAGATTCACTGCAAATTTTCAAAAATAACCAAGTGAGTGCCCAGTGGAGATTGATACCTCTGCATGTAAAAATGTAGTTGGAATAATGGGAATTGCATAATTGTTTGCTGTTATCTCCTGGAATACATTTTTCATCACCATTAGGGATCAGAGAGAAATTTCTCAGAATTATTACTTCTTCTTTGTGAACTGGGTTTTTTATACATTTTTTGTCTTTCCTGGGAGATTATATAGCTGTTGATAAATGAGAATCACAGTGCCTATGTGCAACATATCTGACAATTGATTTTTTTTCCATCTGTTTTTCTTTGTAAGGCCTTAGGTAATATTGAAGCAAAGAAGTAAACTTTCATCCAAAATCTAGTGTCTTAATCCAGATAACTGATTTTGATAAAATGTGTACTTTTCGACAGTACTTACCAAATCTGCTCATCACTTGTTGGTACATCATTGGTATGTCAGAAACACAGCCATCTTGCTTGACAAATTTCATCAGTCTGGTATGCGCTGAATTGAATTTATGTTTCCATGTCCCCTTGAAGTAAATGGCATTCACTAAAACCATCTTTGTCAAAGCGTTCAAAGATTGACTTGTCACCAAGTTTTGGATTTTACCTGAAAATAAACAATGTATTTAGGCAATGCTTCTTAAAGTAACAATTAACATTTCAACTACATGTTATGATGACCATATACTTTCAGGGCTCCTCAAGAAAAATACCAGGAAAACCAAAGCCATCAGCATTAGCCGTACAAGTCTTCTCACAGGCTCTATCCTCCTTCCTAGTTACTGAACCAAATAATTAGCAATCTCTATGTCCTAACTGGTTTTGAGTTGATTTCCTGAACTTATAATCAATCAATCACAAAGACCATCTACTTTCATTCCCACAATATTATATATCTGTGCCTCAGCTTATCTGCTTCTGAAACTTCCAGACATGCCTTTGTCACTTTCAGAATTGACGATTTCATCCCTACCATACTCCTGTTATCAAACCTTCATAAATCTCAGCTCATCCAAATTCCATTGACAAATCCAATCCCATACTCAGTTATCTTCAGTTATCAGCTGTATTCTCCTTACCCTACATTGGCTCCCAAAGCTTCAAATTTATAATCCTCATCTACAACTTTAGAAACGCAGAAAAAAAAACTTTTTTCCCATATTCCATGAAAGTTTAAAACAAATTCCTTTCATAACCTTGCCGTACTTTATCTCTGTTGTTTTCTCCAATCCCAGATCTCACCTGCTCTCTGTTCCTATGGTACATCCAGTTATGAATATTTCTGTTTCTTTCATCTGCTATTGGTGGTTATGCCTCAGCCATCCAAGTCCCATGTTCCATAATTTCTGCCCCAAATTTTTTTCCTCTCATCACCATCCTCTCCTCCTTTAAGCCTATGTTTTGACCAAAACCATTGACTTCCAATCTTAGTAGCTCCTTATTTATTTTGGGATCTACTTTTACAATTATGTCTCTGTAAAGCAATTTGTGATTATGTAGTGTTATTGACATTAAACCAACAAGTTATTTCACAGACACACTGCACATTGGGAAGGGTAAATTCAGAACTTATCTATTAGCAAGTAATCAATCTATGGATAATATATTCAGTTTGGATTTATCTGGTGCAAACAGTTAGCTTTGATTAATGTAAATGAAATTCAGAAAATAAAGTTTTTAATACAATAATAAATTGAGTCAAAACTGGACCTTTAGAAAATACAGACACTTGTGAGACTTTGGAAAGCTTTCCAAAGTGTTTCATCAATGGAATGTTATGCTTGTTATTTCTAGGTTCTTCGCAGTTGATTGATTGCTATCAAAACCTGGGGTGTTCCTTCTCCAGCCAGTTATAGAGATGCGTCAGTGACATGCTCATCAGATGGTGCTCCCATGTCTAATCTAGATAGTGAACAGACAGAGATGAAAGTCTCTGAGCTGGTAAAGGATACAGGTAAAAGTCTTCACAATTCATCCTCTGAGAATTCAGTGAATTCCTCCTCAGAGGTGAAGTTGGATTTCAGGGTGTGAGAAGTTGACTTCCTCTTACTGGAAGTTTGCTAATGCCAACACAACAGAAGAGTGGGAATTAGTTCTGTAAGAGAAGGAAAAGAAACTTGTGCAGTTTAAGAATGCATTAGCAATGATGGTATTGGGACCGCAATGTAGATAGCACATTAAAGCTTGCTGAATTTTGTTGGTCACTGAAGTCTCCCATCCCCACAAGTTGTGCTTTTTTCTGGCTAAGAGTGAAAAGCCTGACGTCTTGCTACCACCCCAGCTTAGCCCCCAAACCACCCGTCACCTCCTTCCAGGTTTGTAATGACTTAATGCAGTTGTAGGTCAATTTTTCTTGCATACAACAAAGGGATTGAGTACAGTAGTTGTAGACAGAAGAGTAGTTTGTGGTGATGAAAAAGCAGGGGAGGTGATGACATATTCCTAGTGAATTAGTAAGAAACACATGGGCAGGAAGGATAAGGTGGTTGAGAGTCATTGAGTAGACATGACGCCTGCAATTGTGAGGGTTGCTGAGAGGCATGTGCAGTGGCAGAGTTAGAGTGAGTGATAGTCCTTGTGAACTTGAGGGAGCAGAGAAAAGATTGTGGTACTGTTGGGCCACCCTAGACAGAGCATTGACCTTGGCTGCTATTTAGGTCCAGGCTGGCTGAATGGCCTCCTGTGGTTATCCACAAGATAAAGGATGGCTCTCCTCTCCACCACCAGCACCTCCAGGTCCCTGTTCATAATGTGGGATCCGAGCTTTATTTTCAACAGTGTCGTAATGGTTGAACATCACAGTACGAAGGCAGCTCTTGGCTTGCAGCATCTGAAGTGGTGTACAGCTGAGCCTGTAATGTAGCAGCAGTGATCTGAATGCCAGAATGACCCAGCAGAACTGTATCTCCTACATGCGATTCGACAAGAAAGGCAGCAAAGAACTTGGTTGTGCAGTTAGTGAGGTAAATAACAGAATATTGGTGTGAAGAGTCACTTGACAAAATATTTCAACTACAAATGGAAAAATTCCACCCCATATGTAATTTTTACAACAGGAATAATTCTGCTGCCAGCATATCTCCATGGATTATTAACATAAACACTAATTAACTGATAAGCTACAAAGCTGAGAAATTTCATTATGAAAAATTACTATTCCAACTTCTCTATTCCCAGCGTTTTGAGTGTTATGATTACATAATTGTGACTGGTTGAACCCGATCATTCTGCAACTTGATGTATAAAAACAAGTTTCCATGTACAGTTTACGTTAACTGTGAAACTGATTTGGTTCTGCATTGTGAAACAAGAGAGTTTTCTGTTATTTTGGGTATCAGATGCTCTCTGATTCACTCACATTTCCAGAAATTTCTCCACTTCAGATTTCCAGCATTGATAGTATTATTCCTTTGTTTTAAAACCATGATAGACTTACACAAAGGTATATAGATCAGTAAAGTACCACCGTTTTTGAAAGGCTACTTAATGTAAAAGCAAGGATTCAACATATATTGGTTGTAGAATAGCTGAAGGCAAGACAACTATTACTTTTAAGAAAAGTTCTGAAATAATAATAATTCTTGACTGGACGACCCATTATAGCTCCCAGGCAATAACATTTTACTTTTTCTGTTCTGGGTTTAATTTGACACCCTTTATTTTTAAAGCATTTTTCAAAACGCATTACGACTTTCCAATTGTTGCAGTTTGTTATGAAACATGTTGTGGAATGGAAGAACTGTTCTTTCTTTCATAAGATAATTTTATTTACACAATAAATGATTACACCTAACCTGTGGGAAATGCACAGATGTCCCTGGGTCTTTAAAGTTTCCATTTTCTTTTTTTGTCAATTGTTTATCCATGCAGGGATAAAAAGGGTTACAGCTATATTTAGATGCAATTTAAAAAGATGAGGGTCTATTTTGCTAAAGTAAGCATATATGGTAAACTCACAAGAAATGTTAAAATAAACATCTGGTAAAAACAAGACAGAGTTGGATGTAATGCAGGCTGTCTCAGCTGAACCAGAGAGGTTAGACCACACGTTGCTGGAGTGGGAGGGAATCTGATGAAGGAACCTGTCATTGGGAATGAGGGCCTTGCTGCCTGGGCTGGCATTTATTGTCCATGATATGGGGCTTGAAGGCAATGGCACATGGGTGGCTTTCAGCGGTAATGCTCCTCCCACATCCCGTGAGTGAATTAAATAAATCTTCCAATCTGTAACTGCCATTCTGCTCTGGGCTCCATTCAAAAACTTGATGGATGCATTGGCGGTGAAGAGCAGGACCTCCATCGCTAAGGAACTCAGTCACAGGGAAGGCCAGATGGTGCCTTCAGTGTGATGCACATTTTATTCCGCACAGTCGCCTCACAAACTAACAGGGGCTCCCACTGGTTAGCCAATTGAACAGCAAGCTGCCCATTGGCCCAACAGAATCCCACGCTAAATTAATTTATACCCTAACTTGACAAAATTCAAATCTGTGCTTTGGTATGCTGATTTGGATCACTCTCTAAATGTCCACTGACTTTGAGACAATAAACTGAATACAATGTATTCATAGAGGCTTACATCGTGCATCTGGGCAAAAAACCACTTGCCTTCTCAAAAACCCAAAGCTCCATTAATGTCTGCCAGAATTCCACATCACCACAACAAACACTTTGTTATTCTTTCACAGCACATGGGTATAACTCGCATTTGTTGCCCATTTTGAATTGTCCTTGCACTGATTGGCTTCCCTGGCCATTTCAGAAGATGGCCTGGAGTCACACATAGTTCAGACCAGGTGAGGACAGCAAATTTCCTTTATTAAAGGGCATTAGTGAGACAGATGGATTTTTACAAAAATTTACGGTCACCATTACTGAGACTAGACAGATTTTTAAATCAAATATAAGCTACACTAGTTGCCACGGTGGAAGTGAACCAATGTCTCCACAACATTAACCTGGTCTTCTGGATTACAATCCAGTGACATTAACCCCATACTACGGTTTCCCCAATGGGATCAGTGTATCAGTACAGGTGTTGCTGCCAGGTATCACAGATGTAGACACTATGTCCAGAGGACCATTTTGATTTGTCCTGTTAATGAAGGTTTGTAGATGGTAATCTGAGCAGCAATTCCTTTGATTTGTGACTTTTGCTTCTTGTTTTATTCAGCTTGACCAAAATTACCTCTTTTCCACTCCAGATATGCACTTCTGAATGGGAGTACCTTTATTTTGATATTGAAAAGGAGGATAAGGAAAATGGAAGAGACTAGGTTGGAAGCTCTTGGAAGGAAGATAAACAAAGCTGCATCCTATCTATGCAGAAGCACTTGAGGCACAATGTGACCTGCCAAGAAGAGGTGGGTATTGTATAAGATAATTATCCTGAAAGATGTAACATTGAAGCAACATCAAGCTCCATCTAAGCTAATGATGTCACACCATCTTTGGAAGAAGCAGCAGTCCAGAACAAGGTCCCCTTCAAGACAGACATGTCATTTTCCATTCCTGATAATCTTTGTAAAATATTCCTAAATAGGGATTCTAACTTATATTTATTGTTATAGTACAATAATACTTTTTTTGATTAAGTTTCAAAAGTGGTTTATTCTCTATGACTGAAATTTAGGTAGGACCTTAAACACGGCATAGGAAGGAGGATTGGTGACAATAGGATTTCTGAAATGTTTGGTTCTGCAACATATAACCAAGTCTACAAACACAGGATCAGTTCTCTCAACATGTTTGAACACTAATGGCTCACATTTCCATGTTGCTCCAGGGGGTTGTAAGTATCAGCAAGATCTCATTACTAGTGGCTATATTGCTAGTTGCTGTCAATTTGCTATCATTGGTAAATTCCTTTCAATTACACAATGGTTCTCAATATTTTTGGTTTCTGTCTACTGACAAGTGGTCTTACTTAGGCTTTCGCTTTTCATGAGTTGGATGCAAGGAGTGAACTTGAAATAGAAAAGGTACCAGCCAGCTACCAAAACAAGGGCTGTATAACTTGAGCAGTTTTTGGTTTTCTGTAGCTTTACAGACCCAAGATTACCTTTATTTCAGGTCAGGTGCTTCTGGCAACCAGCTTTTAGTAGCAAGAGACAGGAGCAGGGCAATTCCAGTCTGAAGCTTACTAGTGGAAAGTTACTGGAGAGAACTTCAAGGAAGTAGGATCAACATCACCTTCCAGTGAAGCAGTAATATTCATGTTCACTACTTGCAGCCCACTTATGTTGGGTGCAGCTTCCCATTGGTTGGAGAAACTCAACAGGTCTGGTAGCATCTGTGGAGAAAGAAACAAAGTTAATGTTTCCAATCTGATATGACTATTCTCCAGAAATGTTCTGAAGAAGAGTCATATTGGAATTGAAACCTTCACTCTGTTTCTCTCTGCACAGATGGCGCCAGAGCAGCTGAGTTTTTCCAACATTTTCTGTGTTTGATTCAGATTTCCAGCATCTGCTGTAGTTTGCTTTTATTCCTATTGGTTGTCATCATAGCAAGACTCATTAGGTCTTGGAAGCTCTTCAGCAATGTTCAAAAACCAACATCTTTTGAGAGAAACATGTTTGAGGCTTGCTCTGTCAGGTCCACACTCAGTCAGAATTAAATTTTAGATTTCCAACTTTCTTTTGTCTATCTTCAGGCATTTCCTTACTGATGTTATTATAGGTTTTTATTTTCAAATTCTGCTTAATGCTGCTGTATGAATTATTCAAAACATGAAATGCCTTCTTGGAATGGCCTACCTTCATTTCAGAAAATAATGTTATTCACAGGAAACATGTATATTAACACTTACCTTCGGTCTGATTAGCTATCCATTTATTGATAATATTGGCAGTCGATACAGAATCTTGAAAGTTCACTTTTTTTATAGCATTATGAAAGAATTCTTGGCTGCTGTGGAGATATTGTTCAGTCAAATGGAATTCATCCTGTATGTAAATTGCATTAGCAAGTTTTAGCGAGTATTGCCTGCTACTACTGGAGATGATTTTGGATTGCTGTTTCAACAAAGAAAACTCCGTCCCTAAAATTGGAATCACAATACTTTAGAATTCAGCAAGCAAGATTTAAAAATATATAGCCAATGCTATTAATATGCCATGTACAGATGAAAAGAAATGCAATATTTTTCTGCAATTGCAAACATATTTTTATGTAGATCACTTTAACCAGCTGGTGTACAAATAGAATTTTACCTACCTTCCTGTGTTTTATCAAAATGTAGAACTTTTCTTAACTGTTGCAAAGTGGTCCCTCTGGCACCCAGCTCTGTCATCCCTAGGCCCAGGCTGACAGACATTGGTGAACAAATAAGATTCTGATCCTTCTGCATTGACCGAATGGCATGGTAGAGATCAACTGCAAATCCTGTAGTAATATCACTAGGAAGAGGATCCGAGCTGCAAATCAGCAGTTCTTCAAACAGCCACAGTAGAATACAAAACAGCATTCTCATTGCTGTGGAGGAAATAGAAATACACATCCGTAATGTTGTTAAGGCGTTACCTTATTGTCAGAGAATAATGTTTCGTGACTATATGTTTTAGAGCTATTTGACCAGATGAATTCTTGACCTATGAACTAAAAAAAAATCAAATTATATGCTTTAATAGGAAGTTTATTTTAGAGAGAAGAAAAAACTTGAATAATACAGTATTATTGAAGGGTAGACATTAGAAGTCACATAACCTGCATGTCATTTGTACAGTGGTTGACTACATGGCATATTGTTTTAATTTCAGATAGTCATAGATCCACTTTGCACTGAGTAGATGTGGAGCTGAACCTGTCTTAGAAATTTGTTACACACTAGATTCAGAGCAGTAAACACAAATTTTGTTAAAACTAAACACTTTGTCATTACGTTTTTAACAGAATAGATACAGATTACAAAATTCTCACATACAAAAATATTTTATACATACGCGAGTGAAAACGCATAATTTCTGATTTCTGTAAAATTACTCTGTCCAAGGTGTCCAGAAACATTCCACAACACTAAAGGCACTATAATCTACCAAGTGTGTAATTGGCAGTAAAGTTGATAGTAATGTTGGTAAAATATTAAACCAAGTAACATGTTTGTATGATTTCAAGGGCACTTGTAATGATACAACTGAATTCCATTTATTGAAAGCAGGTAAGCTGCAAACTACAACTGTGATGATACCAATACATTGATTTAATAAACTTTAATGTGCCAAAGTAATTTGGTGTAGAATGTTAAAACATGTAAATTTTGCTATCACACCTACACATAATGCAAACCTATAATGTTGTTCATCAAACAGTCAAATTAGTATTGTAACTGTTTTCAAAAGTATTTTGTGCCATGATTATGATGATCGGTAAATCTATCAACTGTTGTGACATTATTGTTAACATACTTTTGTGCCCCTTTAATAATACCGTCTTGTTTGGTGGGTAATAATACCTTGTCTCTTTCATCCGTTATGAAGTTATCTTCATTATCTAAATTCTATAGCTTCATTTGAACCCTCACAGAAATTCCATCCAGAGAACCTTGCTTGCAGCAACCGATAATGCAACTTAAGCAATTTAACATATGGAAAGAAATGATAACTGGAAATCTTGAAATGCAACAAAATATTCCCATGGCAACAGGAATCGACAAGGAGGAAAATCATATGACAACAAGGTGCAGGGCTGGATGAACACAGCAGGCCAAGCAGCATCACAGGAGCAGAGAGGCTGACGTTTCGGGCCTAGACCCTTCATCAGAAAATCATATGCCTGTTTTACTACTGACTGACCTTTGCCTGTAGTATCTTGTAGTAAATATGCTGTGCAAGTGCAAATAGCAAGAAACTTTTAAAAATAAACCAATTTTCCTTTCACACCCATTATTACATTAAAGTGAGCAATGTTTGAGACATAAAATCAGAATATTTGCTCATGCTACACAATAATAAAACAGGCTGTTTGTGTATAATTTAAATGATTATGGCTTTGCTGAAGCATATTTCAATTCACTCATTTCATTAATTGGCAACTTTTGTTTCATTGTATACTGTTTTGAATTTTAAGAAGTCAATTTCCATAAATTCTTCTTCCTTGTAAATCAAACTGCTTATTTCTGGATGGAATTATCAAGCTGTTTTCTCAGCTTGATTCCTGCAATGGTCCTTTGTGGTGATCTGTTGGGAAGAAACAGATTGCAATGTAGTTTTCCAATGACTGTAGAAGTGGTAAGATTTTTTTTTAACACTAATTAACTTTTTAACATAGTAAAGCTTTACACTCCATAAATTGCAAAACACATTTGATATATTGGGGACAGCAAGGTGCAGAGCTGGATGAACACAGCAGGCCAAGCAGCATCATAGGAGCATGTGATGCTGTTTGGCCTGCTGCGTTCATCCAGCTCTGCACCTTGTTGTCTCGGATTCTCCAGCATCTGCAGTTCCTACTATCTCTGACTACATTTGATATATTCTTCAGTCTTATTTAAAATGATAGATGATCTCCCAAAGTATTGCTGAAACTTGCATAAAGTCTCCATTTCCGACACCAGTGATAATTCCAATATGATGGCGTCCATTTTGAGAAGTGGATTCATTCCCTACCCAACCCGACCTCATACGTCCAAACTCATTTGCATATCACTGAATGCAAAGTCTGGCATAAAACAGTGCAATTGGGCAGCATTTCTAAAATGTATTTTATTTTTTAAACAAAAACAATTTATTTCATAAATTTTATCAGAGAGGTAACTTGGAGTAATTTAATTACAGCTGAAAATGGATTCATCAAAATTAAAGCAATTCAAAACAGTATCAATTTCATAACTAAATAACTTTATGCTGAAAATTACTTTTCAAAGCAAAATTATGCAGAAGTATCCCTTAAGCCTGTTCCATCATTTAAAAAGATCATGGCTGATCTTGGTTGAAGGATCTGTAAATGACAGAAAGCCTATCCAAAATATGTTACGGTGTAAGTCCCAAAATCGGTGGGGATTATGTTCCTGTGAAACGTTATGGATGGTAATTTTTGTAAATGGCGAAAATGGTGGACTGTAGATATGAATGAATGCACAATGCACACCCACTCTTGCAATCTCAACGGACAATATGTTTAACAGTACTTTTTGCCTAGATAAGCATATTCGCAAAGAGCAGACTTGAAGAAATCTACTGTACTATACAATACACAGAATCTGAAAATGATGCAGATATAACAAGGCATCTAAGACAGGTAATCACATTCAGTAGCATTTCAAGAATCATTTTGTTGATATACATGGACAGACCACACAGATCAGATAAGTGTAAATCCACTCGGTACATACGAACTGTAATGTATTATGTCACAGATTCAAGACCCCACAGAGACTGTATCTTTAACAGAGCTGCATGACATCATGATACAAAGGTACCCACCTCAGCTTTTGTCATCCTCTCGGTTAATGGAGTGAGTACTGTCAGTCGGTTAGAGTGTGCAATGTATAGCAACTCAGTAAGTACAGAACCTAGGCCACGTATGTAAGCCCATTCTATTCTAGCCATGTAATAGTTAATGGTGTAAATAAACTTAGTTATCAAACCCAAGAATGAACCCAGCTCTCTAATGATACATCAGAAACAAAAAAAGAAATTGCTGGAAAAGCTCAGCAAGTCTGGCAGCATCTGTGGAGAGAAAGTAGAGTTATTGTCTTTGATCCTTCTTCAGAAATTTGGGATTTTCCAGCAATTTCTGTTTTTGTTTCTGATTTCCAGCACCTGCAGTTCTTTATTTTGTTTTTGAATCTATGGTACACGTTGTGCAGACCAAAGCATATAAAGTAAACCCAAAATGGCACCACGGTGGCAGCATGTATATACTGGTAATGGTGGCAGCAAGCATCTACGAAAATCTGATGGTGGTAACACTAAAAGGCTGGTTGTCACAGCTAGTTAGTGGCAGTGAGTGAGTGCTAAAAGCTAAAAAGGTGACCACAATGAGGCAGTTATCAAAAGTCATTTTGTAAACATCCAATCTATCTAAGGTCTGAGCTGAACTTAACAAATACTACCAAAACTAAAGGCTACAAACTTACACTGAGGCACAGTGTGCAGTCTATCTCTCTGCATCATTAAGAAGAAAAAAATCTTTTTTGATTCAAAAAAAACTCTTAAATGGTCATGAAAGGACAGTTCCAAAGTGTTCTTTGAACAAAATACAGCTTAAAAGCAGTTTCCTACATTCAAAAGGCTTACCTGTGTCTAGACATCAATTAATTCTAGCACTTTCATTGGTGCAAATGTAAGAAGAAGCCCACATGGCACTATAACATCTCTTTGACATGCATGATATACACAAGCAAAAACCTACTGTTACAAATTTCTAATTCTTAAATGGGCAGCAACATACAACAACAAAAAGAGCACAGAACCCAACAAATTGCAGGAAAAACACTATACTGGCACATTAATTATTACACTGACATTTTGAAGAACATAAAATCACAACAGATGAAAAGAAAACATGTAAAAACCATAGACTGACACACGTTTGACATCCTGTTATTTAAAGAAATTATCAATCATATCTCCTAAATTAGCAGACAACTGACAAAGAATGACAGGCAGCCATATATCTTCTCAATTTGAACAATGAACGGTTAAGATAAATAAAATACTCTGGTACTTCTGATGGGGCTCAGGTTAGGGGCAATTCTAGGTTGGTGTAATTTGTTTGTAGTACCTACTGTTAGGGTGTATGCTGCAGTGTATTGTAAAACACTGTGGTGTATTGGCTCTGAACAAAGGTGAACCAAAAGGTCATCAGACATCTATTTATCCCACAAGAGGAGACTCTGAGATGGGCAACTGATTTTATTTTAAGTTGTGAAACTAGCCTATTAGGGCAGCGTAGTTCTCCTGATTTACCTTTCCAGAAGGTATAACTGCTATCATGGTCGTTGAGCTGGCATTTGGCTTCTCATTGGGTCTCGCTTAGGGTGGTAATATCAATGTTGAAATATCTAAGCTTATAGGTAGTAGTACCTTATTCTAGTCTGCTACTGTTGGGGTCACCCAGGAGGGTCTTGAACTTCATTTTGGGGTGGGAAATGTCTGTGCATGCATTCTTTAAATGTGGGGTAGCTGTGACATGCTAACTCCCCCATGATCTTGATTGAGTAAGGCCTTGGTCCAGGGGCAAGAATGTCAGAGACAACTGGACATCAGGCTCCACTTAGGAGTTTAAGACGTGCAGACATTCTCCTGTAGTCATTTGGTAGTACAGAACTTGAGTATTGCTGAAAAAAAGATGCATCTTGTCGAAGACTTTGTTTTACACTCATCAGGAATACAAATTCAAGGGGAAAACCACATTTATACCACTCAAGCCCTGCTTCCTTAGAAAGGATTTAATACCCGAAGTAATAAAATCAATACATTTCTCTCAACATCTCGCTACCTTCCTGCAGGTACTGATAAAGGTCTCTTTCCCCCACCCCTGCCCAAAAATCCATGTTCCGATATATGGACTTATTCAGGATGGACTCGAAAAATAAATGTTTCCCTGGCATGTATGAACCAAACTGCATTTGTTCCATCATGCTGGAACAGCAAGGATCCTGGCAGCTGCCATTCTTACCACAGCTCTGCTCAGATGCTAATTGTATGGAAGATTCAGAACAGGTTATTTGAATTTGAAATAAATAGCTTAAAGAAATGTACAATTTTTCTTTTCTCTAACTCAATACAAAATGTTCACTTTAACATACCTTGGGAATAGTTTACAGTCCTGAGTCAACTGAATACAGTTTCTCAATGATACTTAATCATAGAAGGTGTTTAACCGAGCGTAAGTGTTCCACAAAGTGGTCCCCAAGCCTCCACTTTGTGGAACACCTACGCTTGCTTCGCAACAAACAACTGCACCTCCCAGTTGCGAACCATTTCAACTCCCCCTCCCACTCCTTGGACAACATGTCCATTCTGGGCCTCCTGCAGTGCCACAATGATGCCACTCGAAGGTTGCAGGCACAGCACCTCATATTTCGCTTGGGAACCCTGCAGCCCAATGGTATCAATGTGGACTTCATAAGCTTAAAATCTCCCAATCCCCCGACCGCATCCCATAACCAGCCCAGCTCGTCCCCGCCTCCCTAACCTGTCCTCCCACCAATCCATTCCTCCCACCTCAAGCCCCACCCCCATCTCCGACCTACTAGCCTCATCCCACCTCCTTGACCTGTACGTCCTCCCTGGACTGACCTATCCCCTCCCTAATTCCCCACTTAAGCTCACCTTTACTAGTTGCAACCCCATCTCTTTGACCTGTCTGTCTCCTCTCCACCTATCTTCTACTTTATCCATCTTCTATCCGCGTCCCCCTCTCTCCCTATTTATTTCAGAATCCCCTTCCCCTCCCCCATTTCTGAAGAAAGGTCTAGACCCGAAACGTCAGCTTTCCTGCTCCTCAAGAATGAGAGGGTACAGACATAGAGTAACCTGAAAACGTAGGAACGTCATCTGGGAAAAAACACCTGTTCACAGCAAATAGTTAGGTCTGGAATGCACAACCTGGAATTGTGCTGGATCACAGGTTCAATCAAGGCATTCATGAAGACATTTGGTGATTATTTAAATAGAAACAATATGTAGCGATACAAGGAAAAAACGAAGAGAGACATTAAAAAACATAATACTCCTTTGAAGAGGATGTGCAGACAGATGAGCCGAACGCTCTCCCTCTGCACTGCAACAAGTCTATAACAGCAAAGACACACACAAACACAGATCATAAGTTTAAAAATAAGGAGGGTGACTAATACAAGCAGAAAGATTAAAGCATATGCCATTTATTGTTCTTAGAGTCCTGGAGTTGCAAGAGTGAAATGTGAATCCATGGTTGTTTAGCTGTTGTCTTATTTCTTCAGCGTAGAGATATTTGTAAAATCCTGGAATCCTCACTGAATAGTTGTTTTCCCAAGTTGCTTTTCCACTGGGCACTTCTTCACAGCTTAAGAGAAAAGGAGAGAAAGACAGAGGGCAAGCCTTGAGGTTCTGTTGTCTTGATTCCATTCTTTCTTCTCCTGTGCTGCAAAGCAAGCTACTAAAATATGGTTTGTTCATATATTCTCAAATCTATCTCCATTATCTTTCTAAGTTCAATACCCTGCGGATAACCTTTCATCTTTCAATAT